TCCGTCTTTTTTTCCTTCTTTCTATTTTTTTTTTTTTTTTGACAAACGAATCTCCTTTTTTATCGGAGAAACGGGACATTCCGGTTTTTCTTGCTAACGATTGCCGGGGATTAACGAGGACTTCTACTGGTGCATTTTTGCTACTGGGCATTTGATTCTTGGAAAAGAATATTTCGTTAGTATTCGAAGAAAAAATCGCTGTTTAGTGTTTTTAACAGTGGCATCGTTCACGAACAGATTTTACAGAAAAAGAAAACTGAAAAATTTGCATTTGACTAATATCGTAGAATTTGATATTTGCTCTCTGATGTGAAATTAATGAATTTAGAAATGGTGAAAAATACTGTACCCGCAGAGTCCATTAGTCCAAGAAAATAAAAATTGATAGTTTTTAAGTTGTCTTGTTTAAACTGTTAGTTTTAATGAAGTATTTAATAAAGTGTTAAATACTGATCGTATTATTTGTTTAAAGAGGCTCTACTTTTGCGTCTATCTAGATTTAACCCTTCGAAAGTTTATCCCGCGTGGGATTCGGGCAAAGCGTCAAATATTTAACCCCTTAACCTATGATTTCTTTTCTAACTACGCGTATAAACGTCAGCCATTTAATATTTTAGTACTGCATCAGGTAATAAAAGCTAATCTGTTACAGATTAATTACTTTAAGGAATCCTTGATCTTATAAATTAAAACGAAAGTTAGGATTGCAATTAATTTTTTTTAGTAATATAACTATTTTTCTCACATCTTGACCGGAATCTCTACCACGAGACTGACACGTTGTTACAGGTGAAAGGGTTAACTGTTTAACTCAAGAGAGACTCTTAGGAAGAAAGTTGAAAAGGGGCGAGATATTGTTGTCATAACTACGACGTAGAGTTCTGTATCCCTTGTTTTAAAAATTACCATACCCGACGTAATTATTAAAAAAATACGTATGAAATGTACATTTCTTTTAGCGTAATTCATAATTTTATTAGACTGTCGAAGGGTTAAGGATCACAGATAGCATAATCGTGAAGAAATTCAACAGAATATTAGGTCTACCTTATACTTTACACCCTCTTTTACGCTGTATGAAACAACTGAAAATGAATCACTTTTATAGATAAAATACGGCCAATTTAATGACGATTCATTTGCTCTCTGTTCTGATATTAATGAAGTTAGAAATAAAAATTTGCATTTTTTAAGTTCTGCCACTATCAATGCCAAACAGCGAAATATGACAACTTCTTTTAGCTAGCATCTTAGAAGAAATAATTTCTTAAATATTTGTTCATCATTGTGATTGCTACTATCTTGCAAGGAGAAACATGACTCTCCAGAGGAAGATAACGATTATCGATAACGAGGCGTTCAATTTTTTCTAAAAATATTATACTTGCCCACTGTTTTGTTCCCCAATCTTTCGTTCCACTTACCATTTTACAGGTATCATTCCCTAAAGCATTTACTTGTTGTTTCGCTAATCCAAAAAAAAAAATAAACTGTCAAATGAAAAACATTTAACGGTCGTTTAATAGGAATTATCCCTTGCGAGGAGAAATTTAATGCTTTTCTGAAACGAAAAAAAGAAAAGAAAGAAAATCCCTCGTTGTGCTTTTAAGAGAAGGAAATCAGTCTAGCGGGTCAGTTTTAATAAAGAAATTTTAATCCAAATCCAACTGGTACACGCCGGACTGACGTTTACCTGATTAGCGTCCCTCTGGTGGATTTACAAGAAGAAAGTATGATAAGAAGTGGGTCATTTTTTCCCCGTCGCCCGTGACTCGTACAGAGGTGAGTTCGTGACAGGTTAATGGAAAAATATGAAAACGAATAGAACGAGGCCGAGTGTGCATCGCAAATGTATAAAGTAATTTTTGTCGTTCGCGTGATTTCACTTTCACGGTGTGTGCAACGACGACCTCGTAATTGCTTAACGTGCAATTTAAACATCGGGAACAATATGTGACTGGAAATGACGGAGAAACTGGTACTTAATGTTCTTGAGAACTTTCTTGCGGAGAAATGTGAAATGGAAATTTATTATCGCGGGGAAAGAAATAATGTGTTGCGACTTTTTGTTAACGAAATTACACAGAAAATCACTTTGGAATTTGTTTAACTGCTCGGAGAAGAAGAATGCATGGAAATATAGAAAATCAAATTCAATTTTATGGGAATTGCTGCACATTGCAATTCAAGTTGTAAATTAACGAGAAATCTTTGTAAGCAGAGTAGAAAAAATTAATTTAAAAAAATACAATAATTATGGGTTTTTTTTTAATTTTTTCTTCTTAAAGGATGTTATAGATAGTGCTATTGGACTCAATTTAGTCAAACATGTACTACTTGCTAGTTTAGCGCACTACTGCTTCAAAAAAAGGGACTAAAGAGATTTAAATTTAATTTTCTAGCTTTGCTTCGAAAGGAACATGAGAGACTCAATTCCCAGATCTAATTTATATAAAAATCTTCTCCCTTGCAATCTACATTATCATGTACTGAATTTCTTTGGCAAATTATAAGAAATCTCTCAGAAGAATTTTCAATTACCTTTTTTAAACTTTCATTTTTCCCAAAGGATTACAGATTTACCACTGTCAGCTTCAATTACTCAGAAACGTAAAGAAAAATTTTCTAAAAAATTACTGAAAAAGGACCTAGCCGAATAAGCATGGTAAAAGTGCTCTCAAACCGAATTAATCTTGGTGCATTTTGGTCCTTCTCACACTCAATTCTCCCAAACACCTGCCATTCTCCACTTCACTAAGGATCCTCCATTCCCCTCCATTTCCCTCAACGATCGCGCTTATCGTCACATGCAGCATATTAAAATCAGCCCGACCTGACGTTTCTCCTTCAACCCGGCAAGACTGCAGTTGCCATTTCTAGCTGGCGGCGCATCGAGAGGTTAATCCTTCACCGGCTGTCACCGTGAATATTAATTACAGCCAAGGACGAGCCGCAATGCTCGCCCTTTTGTACGGGACGCGTGTTCCACGGCCATTTATCAGCAATTACGAGCGACCCGCGGCAATTTCGCCACCCGTAGCCAACGTCATATTGCTTGTAATCGCGGCCACGCGATCCCTGATTCCCTTTGACTCCATTGGACACCGTGAATTATTCCTGACAGACCTTCGTTCGCTCTTTGGTGGAACTGGACCGTTTAATAGAGGCGAGAAGGAATGATTTAAAGCAATTCAAACGCCTAGTTACTCAAAGCTGATGATCAGGGTGATCTGACACACCTAAATGGTCACATGGTTGTCCTAACTCCGGGGGGCACGTTCACTGTGCAAAGGGTAATTGGCTGAAGGGATCATGGTGCTAGATCTGGAGTTATGATTAGGCGTGAATTCTTGTTCGTTTGAATAATGAGGACCTGCTTGGTCTGTTAGGTGATGGGGATTCTGTTACCGGTTGCTGTTGCTGCCATTTATTAGTGGCTGTGAGCGAACGCTCGCTAGCTAGGAAGCTAAATAGAGCTAGGTACACTAGAGTAGTCAAATGGAGGTTTAAACATGGTCCTAAAAATGATTTTTCTCACGTCTGTTTACGTAGACAAATTGATCATTCGAAAATATTTAATTCGTGTATTTGCACTATTCTTCTATCTATAGTCTCTGAAATATCAGGGCAACTTTTATCTCTTCAACGTGAAGAATTTTTGATAAAATACATAGGAGAATTACCATATACCAAAATTTCATCAAAATCAGATTTTTATGAAAATTTATATTTCTGAGAATACAGTAAAGGAAAGTAGAACTTTGGTAGGAAATTATTTCACTTACAAGGTATTATAAAAAACACTGTAATTTGGATATTTTGTATATTTTTTCGTTTTACGTGCATTCTCTGCAATATTGCACCTTTAAATTTCCTATAAATGCATGAAAATCCGCAGTCTAGTTATCACTGTGTAATTACTGGAACAAGGATCAGTTCTATTTTTTGGAAATTTGTTCAAAAAGGAATTGAACGACAATCAGATGTGAATTCTTGCTAACTATGACACTAATTCAAAAGAATTTGATTTTGCTTGCTAATCTGTGTCACTTGGCTGCCACTAGGTAGCGAATTCTTGTTACTTTAGAAGATCATGACATAGTACATACTCTCAAGTAACAATAAGAAGGATTCAATTAAAATTACCGATATCCCCCATCCATTAGTCTCTGAAAATAGTTAGAAACTCAATTACGAGATGCACAACTCGAAGAATTTTCTAGCGTACCTGCCAATCGCCACTGACATCCCACCTAATTATAAGTGAGATTTCTAATCAACTTAAGCCACGAATATCCACCTGATCATCCAACCAAAGAGGATTCAATTACAGTATCCAGTGTCTCTGATCCATTAATCCACAAAACACGACTGGAATCTCAATTAGGTGTTACTGCTAACTATCAGATCCCCTAAGCAAAGAACATTGACCTCTAATTGGACTTTAGACCAACTTCCCGACTCTTACGAACTCCAAGCCTCTTAAACTGAGCTCCTAGATCAACATCAGGCCATCTGAGAGAAGCCCCAGGACACGCAGCCCGAAAGAAGAGGGCCATAAGAGTAGCGTGAAGTTTTATTTTCATGCCTGGACTGAAGTTCTGGATCAACAGAGAGCCACCGTCAGAAATAGTGGAGAAGAAGAGTCAGTCGGAACTGTTTAATCAGGGCGAAAAGGGCCGGGCAGCTGATTTATGGAGGGTTGCTTTTTGAGGATCCTCGCAAGAAAGATATATTATATGTATGAGTATCCCGTGACCTGGAATCGTGTACACGATTTTTACTCCCCCAGCGTGACGACAATGACAAATTACCGCGAAAGTTGTCTTTTAATCCGACCAGAATTCCCCCCCTGTAAGCTCGAATATCCTCTGAAATGGTCATTCTATCAAGGAATCTCTTAAAACGACGCATTCAGCGTTTACTGTCGTGAATTTGAGCAAGCAGTTCAACGTTTCTACCGACAGAACGAAGCATTGAGATGGATTTTAGAGACGTACCATCATCAATTTCTCGTACTCCTCCTCGATCACGGTGCCATTGTAGTATCGACTGGTCGATTTCGTGTCTGGGTAGTAGAAGCCTCGCTTGCAGACGCATCGGTAGCTCCCCCGACGAAATCCCAAGCCTGGAATGGCGATACACTGGAATCAAAGGTGTTAATTGAGTGTCCATCAATGGGAGACGATTTTTTGAGAGAGAAAAATGGTAAGTGAGAAGGAAAATTTGTTTTCACGTCGCTGATGTTGCGAATGAGATTTTATTCGAGAGAGTTGTTAGGTATCATTGAGAATACTATTAGTTTCTCATTTGAAGCTCAATTAGAAACTGGAAAGTGGCAGTCTTGTTTAAGAAAACACTAATAAGTAATATTTAAAAAGTAAGTAAAATAATATCAGTAAAATAACACACTTTTCACGAAGATTTATAATTCACTTTTAAATTTAAACAAAAATACCAGTAGAATTTTTTATGAATTGTATGATCGTCAGAGAAAAGGTAAAGAAAATGGTAAAAAGGAATATTTAATTACCGATAGGACTAAGAGGTCTCGTCGATAGCAGTTTTGTACGAAAAATTAAGAAAGCTAATCTACATTATCGAGAATTTCTCCTGTCTGGGATTAATCAAATTTGAGAAATTGTAAAAATGGCACCGAGAAGTGCACTGACCTCGGTTGTCCGCTTCTTGCACTTGTCACTGGCTGCGAAAATGTTCAATTGCGTGGATCCTGGAGGCAAAGGGCACTGATCTATGTCCAGTCTACGTAGATCAATATCTATCCCACTCGTACCTCTGAAAACAAAAAAAAAATTGTTCTCGTTTAAACCTAGCAGTTACCATTTTGTAACAGTTGTACGTCATTTGCATCCTATTCGGTGGTTCGTAAAACGATTCTGCTATGAAAGAAGACCGAGAATAAATATGAAAATGGAGATCAAAGGAGTTATGCAAAGACAAAAAAAGAAATGTTACTTTGCGAATGAAGCAGTAATGCAAGGTAAATTGAGTTATATCGTTGGTAAATTGCACCAGAAACGTCAATAAGTGGCTGATTTGATCTAAGGGTGAAATGGAGGGAGGTTGCGATGCACCGGAGTAAACTGATTGGTGATTTTAGAAAAGGAAACATCACCAATCAGGGTGTTTTTAGGAAAATGGGAGTCTTCGTCGAGGAAAACCGCGGAGACTCCAGCAGAAACACTTCGCATCCAGAGAGAAACACTTTGCAGTAGACTCTATACCTCGAATTAGTTGTAGAACATAGAACTGAAAATAAAAACTGGTCCTTCGTAGCCTTAGACCATTAGTCGGCACACACGTGCAAAAACCGGCAACGCTTGAACGATCGAAAGATCAACCGCAAGCCCCAACAATGTCTGACCTGTAACGGGCCAAAGGCAACTGGTAATTGGTTGAAATTCATATTCCCGCGAGAACAGGTTTACCCCCCATTGAAATTTCTGGCCGTGGCCAATATAATGGGCGGTGGTGTCAAACAGTGAAGTATGGCACACGTAAAGCTATCGATCGTGGCATCAATTTATTATGCAATAAAGCCTGGTTAACGTCTCTTCCGGGTGCATGCTTTCTCTTGCCGGAACGATAATGTCTCTTGGCTGATGTACGTTCAGATATCATTGTTTATGGCTTAAATCTAGTGAAACCATTTCGACGCCTTCGTGTTCTTTTTTGTTGTATTTTAACATACAGTACGAACGTTGTTAAGTGAGTAGAAAAAGTATATTTAAGGGGTCCTCTTACTGTGACGGATGAAAAAGCTTAATATTTCGGAAATTTAAAAGAAAGATAGTGCTACACGTATCCTTTTGCAAATTTGTATATTTATTCTATCACCTTTTAAGAACACAAAAATATTTTTTATAAGTGAAAATATACATCTGTTGTAAAGAAGGACCATCGTGAAGAGAGCGCCTTGAAAAATATCCTTCCCGATGGCTGACATGATATCAGACGAAAGGACCATCGTGAAGAGAGCGCCTTGAAAAATATCTTTCCCGATGGCTGACATGATATCAGACGTTGTACTTATCCAAAATACAGAATGCAAACATATTCTTAATCTGTAGACGTGTGGCTATCGTCTGAACTAGAATATTAAAAAAATATTGAGAAATAAAGAAATGACAAGGTTTCAAAAATTGCTTTCGATTTTAGCAAAAAATGATGGTTTTTTTGACCGCAAAGGCTGAATTTTGAAAATATTTGCACAATTCTAGTTCAAGCGATAAAGCAACATCTACCGAATATACCTGACATATTTGAAGTGGATCGGACTTCTGGTTTTTTGGTAATCATGTCAGCCAGTTTGAAAAATGCTGTTTCGAGAAAAACGCGTTTAAAGTTTTAACTACAGTTTAAGACTACATAAAACCGCTTCCTTCGAAGGCATATATCTCTGCCAATTTTGAGAATTAAGCTTTAAAACTTCGTGGACATATTCTCGAGATGTTAAACTATAAGAAAATGCAGAAAAAAAAATTGATTTTTTCAATCCGTCACAGTAGGAAGACCCCTTAAATGTACTTATTATGGGCAAAATGTTGTCCCCTATACCGTTTTGACATTTCTATGTAAAAAACATAAATTGACAGATGCATGTGTGAGGGAAAATAAAATATGAAATTCTGAATTAATAATCAATTAATAATCAGGTATCGTTATTGTTGTACAGATAATGCTTTGCAATATTTTCAGACCTCAAATTGGCCATTTTTAACGTCTGAACATGTTGTACATCCGATATGTAGGATTTAAAAAAATTGTGGACACAGTATCTGCTCCACATGGCGGAGTTATTGGTACCATTTTCTCATTTTTACTTTGACGACAGGAATTCGAAGAGAATATACCAGATATGGACGTCATAAAAAATACAAGATTAGCTTCAGGATGCTCGTTAACGTGTTTTCATTATCCCCGGTGTTCCTATCGCAACTAATAACGTTCTCGTCAGTGTCATGTCTGGCCTTGTTGTAACTGTAACGAATATTGCTGCTTGCATTGCACCGCTGCAACTCGTGTCTTGTCATTAGCGACACAGAGCACGTACTTCCACGCGTGTTTCGTGATCCTCCTGCGTGCTACAACAGGTATTCCATTTGAACAGGTGTATCGTGTTTCTACGAGCTGTTTCATAGCCCAAAAAACCAGTAAAATGCCATCCGCAAACCTCCAAACTACTTCCTCAACAATACTCATTTTCTACTTCTATTCTATAAGTTCACTATCAATTTCTTTCTGTACCTCAGACTAATTTTTAACATCCAATTTCACAGTGTAGAACGACATTACAGAACACTGTTATATACAGGGTGTCTGTTTTATCTCAATACAGCGAAATATCTTTTAAAGAATTGATGTTAAGAAAAAAATGTTTTAACAAAAGTTGTTTGGCACGAGGGGGAAAATTATGTGGTATAAATATTTTTTTTTGTACCAGGTATGGTGGGGTTGATTTCAAAGTCAGTTTAATTTTTTTAAATAGAATGCTATATTTTTTTATACATAATATGATAGTGTATGTTAAGACGAGTCCAACGAGATGCGAACAAAGACATTTCCTGTCATGGAAGGTCGTAAAATTGCGAAAAACCGGGAACAGGACCACCATACGTTCCTCACTGTCGCGTGTGTCTGTTTTATCAAAGGAAATGACTTTGTTCGCACCTCGTTGGATTCGTCTTAACATACACTATCATATTATGTAAAAAAGTATAGCATTCCATTTAAAAAACTTAAACTGACTTTAAAATCTCCCCCACCATACCCGGTACAAAAAAAGTATTTACACCACATAACGTCTCCCTCCATACTAAACAACTTTTGTTAAAACATTTTTTTCCTAACATCACACAGATATAAAACAGACACCCTGTATTTGTATCTTTCGTATAACTAAAAGAACAAAATGTCAGTCCTTTAAATCTTAAGTTTATATGATATGTTACAAAGCATTTACAGAAGGAAATTTAAACATGGACTGATCTTAGCCGGACAAAATGATAGGATAATAACACAAAATTTTAATTGCTTTAGGAATCAGGTTTTGTTGAATGTTATATTGATCTTTCATGAGATGTCCTTAATAGTCGGTTTGGAATTATTTTGTATAATTTTTTTAATATATTTCCATTCTTGTAGAGTAAAATGAAAATAAGAAATAAAAAGAATCGAGAATGGAACACTGTCTAATAAAAAATTGACCCAAAGGCGCTTGACACCAGGCAACCCATCGTACACCACAGGGTTGTAATTATCGTATACGTCAAAAGTAATACCAAAAATGCGTCACAACATCTATAGTATAAATGAATATTTCTGCATCATCCTTTGATAATCATTACGCCCACGTTTACCGATCCAATCTTCCAATATCTCGCGCAATGGTTCGTTGCCTGCAATCAGGCGCCTTTGGGCCAATTTCAAAAAACCACTTCCAACTAATCTAAATTTTATTATTCTCCAATCTGGTTTCAATTTTTCACAAGGAGAATACCTTTGAAAATATCTGCCACCCCTTTGTATTAGTCCCAATTATTACCGTCACGATCCTCCTATTACAATTAAGTTCTCGTTCAGGGGAGGAATTAACGGAGAATTTCTCGCGCAGCGTCGAAACAATACCCAATCCCGATTCGTTCATTTATTCCCGGCGTAATCCTGGGTGGCGAGCGACCCGTTCAATTGCTCGCAACCGAACACGATCCCGGTAGAATCTCGAATATATTCGTTTATGCAGAACGAAAGGCGGCATGAACATTCGAGCCAATTATCGATATTGCCCGCGAGATCGAAACGTGGAAATGTTACGCGGAGAACGAGGGACATTCTGAGACGGGACGCGGGGACGATCGAGCGCACGCCTGTAATAGAAATAAATAAATAGGAAAAGGAGCAAGAATAAATGAAGAATAACAGCATCGCAGGATGAAACTTTTGAACTATTAGCAGGGGGGAGTTCAATGTGATAGCGCGAGAAATAAGGAATTTTTAACAATATTTTTGGCTAGACTAGTAAAGATATCGTGACACTTCTGTTTCTGATAGAAAGGGACATCTTTAGAGTGTAACGAAACATTTTTGTTCGATGTAATTCTTAATATTGTTAGTGTAAATAGTTGTAAGTAACTGTAGCAAATAGAAAATATGCGAGGCAAAGGAAATAAAAGATTGACGAAGAGATAAATCTGAAGATATAAATGAGGAGAAAAATGATTGTAACGTTTACACAGGGTGTGTAATTTCGCCCCTTGAACCTAATTTACGATTAATCAGCCATCGTCACGCTTTGTCTCTCTCCTATTCAATGAAAGCGTCTAATCCTTACGACGAGCTGCATCTTGGGAACCAGGGCTGAGGGTAATTTCCGCGCGCTTGCGTTTCCGGCGGAAGATAACAAAAGGAATTGTTTGTGACGCGTCTGGCCGTAAAATATTCGCTATAGTGGCAAAGGGAAAGAAAGAAAAACATGAATAGACGCGCGAAGATACTCCCGACAGTATGCCTTCTACTCTTTCGATCGTCGTCACCTTCAGCTAAATTGCGAAAACATAACAAGAAATGGAGAAGAAAAGAGTGGAAGAGAAAGATTGGCTGCACAGGAACTTACCGCCTTAGCCACACCTGTTTGTCTCGTCAAAAATAAGTTCGCACCGCTTGCAAGACATTCTGCACTACTTCTCGGACCATACACGAACCTGTGTTTCTAATGTCTGATAATCCATTGATTTTTACTTCTGCTGGATGATTACACGTAGGCTCGTACCACTGTT